CAGACAGACAGAGAGACAGACAGACGCAGAGACAGACGCAAAGAGAAACACACACACACACAGACACACACAGACACAGACACAGACACAGACACAGACACAGACACAGACACAGACACCGACACCGACACAGACACAGACACACCCACAAAGACACTTGCATTTAGGCTTGTTTGGAATCGGAGAATCATAAAAATTCCCGGGAATATTTGCGTTCGGGGATTCGTAAAAATCCCGGGAATTTTAGAAGCAGAAGGGCAACAATCTTCAGAGATTTTCTGGAATCCCCGCTATTGCGTCCATGCAAGGCCACAAAGCCGGCAAAAGGAGGCAGGACATCCAAGGAGGTGCCCGCACAAGCAAAACACAGCCGGGCCCGTAACCTTGTATTGGGGTATGTATATAAATATATATAATTTGCAAGAATTCAAAATTTATCATATATTGTATATTCAATATCGACTATCATCAAATATGGAAAAGTTTTCAAAAATAGAAATTCATTTTGTATATATAATATTATGAACAGTTTGAGAATTTTGCTTCCCACAATATATTCAGATGTTTTATCTAAAATCATTTTGTAGATTTATAAAACCCGTATTATAGAATAACTTTCAAAATTCATCCGAATTATTTGTAAATTCCGACGTCTATATGCAAAAATGAATTTCATGTTATATCGATCTAGCCTAGAAAGAAGCATTTTATCATAGAAATACTCTTATATGTCTTGATGTTCCAATGCATAAAATTCACTAGAATTCTATTTATAATTTCTAGAGATATGATCAATATCTACAAAGATATATATCCATATATATATATATATTTTTCAGATATATAGCCATAATATCTCTCCCTGTCCCCACCTCTTTTGAAGATATGCTCCTCTCTATATTTCTCAAGATCTTACTAAGTCTCTGAAATATAATTCTTGATGTCCCTTCGGAAATCCTGGTACAAAGGCCATTTTCCTCGTCTTCATGCAAGCACGGTGCAGTCACGCCATATGGGGGCGAGCTATACCGACTGTAGTTGCTATGCGCACGCTGTACAAGTCCCATTTCCTTGTTTCCAGGCGGGCTGGAAAAGGAAAGTTAGGCCCATTTGGCATCCATGCAAATTGCAGATCTGGAGTTCTCTCAAACTGTGCGTGTAGACAAACCTGCAGCCTTCCAGCCCGCAACCCCATCGTCCAGCACATAGGCATCCACGAACTGGGAGCGCAAAGATTCCCAAGCCAGCACACTCCTCAGTCTGCATCAAACACAGAACCATGACATCAAGCCTGCAATCGACAGCGAAACAAGCAAGGGTGCAGTCCGACACTGAGGCAGGCGGGGTGCTTGTTGCCGTGGAAACACGTCAGGATGACCTTCTTGCCTCGCATGAGCGGCGGCGGAGCGCGCCCTGCCCACTCGTCCAGGGGCACCAAAGCAGCGACCTGGACGGTGCGAACTTCGGCATCCCTATTCTCAACGTTGTCTGCATCTTGCGCAAGACGAACTGCTATCGGCTACCCGGCTACCCCAATTACCAGCTATCGAATCTACCCACCAGTCCGTCACCGATGCCTCTAAGAGGACGAAGCTCCTTACGCTGCCTGTTCCATTTGGAGGTCCCGAGAAAGCAAGATACTCACTGCCCTGCAGCCTTGGGAAGCTCGCCTCCGGTCTGCTCCAAGACCTCTTCGCGTGTGCGAACGTCCACGAGGACAGCCCCGTCCTGGAGCGCATCGCGTGTGGTGGGAAGGTCGGAGACTTGGCTTGGCTCCGTGCTTGCAGTCCTGTATGCAAAAGAGCAACACAGTAGGGCTCGGTCAGAGCATTTGTTGCCGAAGCAAAACTTGCAGAGTGTTACTAAACTGAGGCCCTCCTGCGGCCTTTTCAGAGCATGCTCAAGGAGCTTCGGAGACGACAGTTTGTGACTCAAGGGAGGTATACCACCATGTTTACTTAAACCGATCGCGAGACCGGTCTCTCGTTACGTCACGTTGGTCAGGGCAGTGCTTTGTCTTGAGGAATGCAGCAAAGGGAGGAGTCCGATCCGACGACTAGGCTTGTTGGCTTCTGCCGGCCGTCCTGAACCATCTTCGCTGCTGTCTCCGCATCAATAAGACGATCGCCGAGATCAGGACGTACACTTGCCACTCGTGCCTGCGGACTTACACTCCGGATCTCCATGTCGCATGACGCTACGTAACTTTAGTGCAGAAGCACGAATGAGCTAGCTCGAACTGTCAGTGCTACTTCTACGAATATGAGATCGTGCTATCAAGAGTGGCGGGCACAAAGATGCTTGCCAGCCCTACAAGGGCCTCATACCATGCGTTCAGTACTGGAAGAGGAGAGGCTCCCGTCTCCCAGCCTTGAATTCGGGGCTCCCGGGCCTGAGCTCCTCAGCCGTCGGCTTCACGTAGACCTTCATCGGCCGCTCACCAATGACCACATCAACAGTCGGAGCATCCTTGTTCTTCTCAAGGTATGCCTTGATGCTTCGTTTCTGGGCCTCGCTCAAGTCCCCAGCCAACTGCGCGTTGAACTGAATGGGTGCTGCTGTCGCTTCTGTAACACCGGCCGCTGCAAACCAGGCGACTGCATCAACAACGCATCGCCGACTCCGGTGCGAGGCTGCGGCCGCAGCTCTGCGTGGCACGACCGTTTCTGGGCTTCTAACGAAGCCTTCACATAGCAGTGAGCCCACAGCAATGGCACAAAGAAGACCGCCAGCCCTGGTGCCACGTCGAGAAACAGTCATGCTTGCGTGTGTTTTGCGGGAGTCTTGGGCCAGTTTGTCTGCAGGAGTCTTCAACCATTTTCATGACTTAATATGGAAGCCACCGCTTTGAGTCCTTAGCACTGGGCATCCCTTGCCGAACCTCGATAAGATTTCTTTAAGCTTTGCGTGAGGGTCTAATGCAGCTTGGATAGCCTGAAAAACACGACAGCTGTTTTGCAACCACCGACGGCATTTCGAATTAGGAAAAATGTCGGGTGGCACATGCTGGGATCCTTGTCTTGTCAAGACAGGCACAATCGACCACCAAGCTGGCCCAAAGTCGAAAAAATGCTTTCTCGTTCACTTCGAAAGCTCATGAATCATCGATCTCGTCACTGCTACCCTGCTGAAAATGTGGAGGCCTCTTGCAGCCATAAGTAGCTGCGTCGGCCGAGTGCAATAAAATCCTCTCCATATTGCAGCACCCTTCGGGACAGATGCCTGCAAGCGATCTTCAAGTCTCTCCTCGTTGACACCGTTTTCGTCAGGATACAGTGAAACTTGTTGAGAGTTTCCGTCGAGCCGCCACGAAGGTGCAGCAGAACGCTCTGGCCCCAACCCTGGTCCCAAGTCGCGTCAAGGACTCTCCAGAAGCATCCTCCGTAGAGAACCAGCGCAGGCTTGCCTCCTCTTGGCTGCTGCAAATTACCGTGGATATCTGGCAATCATCGTCTGAACACCTTAGCTCTCATATGACATCTCAGAGGGCAGCACTCCTGGTCTCATACCTTCGCTGAAAAGAACGTGCTATCGGAGCTGCGGTGTTGCAGTATTGCTGTCAGATTTCAGCCGAATCTAGAATCTAGCCTGTGCATGGCTACAGCTTACTCCTCACCGCAAGCCGGATGCACGTCGAGCTGCTTTGAGGAAGACTCTGCTGCTGTGCTCGGAAGATGTTCTGGACGTCCAAGTTGGCAAATCCTTCCAGCTGTAGAATGTACCCAGAACCTGTCCAGAAACCACATCAAGCAAAGCATTTGAGACATGTCTTTCAAGCGCGGACTGCAGAAAAGGCGCGCATCAGCAGTTGAGCCTAGGTGCACCAGAAAAGCCAATGCACAAGCGAAAAGCTTCCAACAGCTGAGGGGGTTGCCATGGCCTCGAGCTCGATGCTCTCCTGCAGCCCAATTTCAGGGCTTCACGATGTTCCCATCGAAAGGACCAACATTTCTGCTAGAAAGCTGAGAAAGGTCTGCTTGGCATATCGCGCATGCACTCAGGTCCTTGGAGACGGAGATTGCAAGGGCTTTGACCTGTGAACAGTGAAGGCTTCCATCAACCGGCATGCAGATTGGAGATCAACACTGCCAGCAATAGCAGGAAGCTCCATGCTGAATATGGCAAGCACAATGGCTGGCACCAACCCTCCCCTCTGCCTTTCCAGCTCGCAAGAACTTCTCGGCAGAGCGGAGAGCATCGAATTCGCGCCCCAGGACATGTATCCGAAGTATGTCAACCTGCAGCATTCCACGCATGCACATTCCGGTCATGCTGCCCCTTTTCACCGGCCTGTTCGATGTGCTGTTCTTCCAGAAGCGCCTGAAGACTCGTGCATTCCTTGGGTTCCCAGATCTCATATCTGATGTTTAGACCCTACAATGCAGCATCTTGCTTCAACAGCCGCTCTTTGGCCCGGATAGCAGATAAGTTCAGAAGGGTGTTTGTTCGCCACGAATCCAAACCAAGCCTCATGCTTATGCATGTATTTGCAAGACTCACCGACCATTTGTCGCCCGTACATTCGTCTGAAAGAGGCTTCAGGGCTGCCATCAAGGATCCACCTGACTTGCATCAGAAGCCACCACCTCGTGTACACAGCAACTGCTGAGGGGTACAGGAGGTGGTGCACTCGAAGAACATTTAGCAAGTCGGCCTCATCGGTGACCTCCTCCCATGCTGGTTGCACCTTGAGCTGTCCCAGATGCGCTCGCTGGGAGGCTTGATTTGATCCGTGGGATCTCACTCGAGACGGGTACTGTAGGGACTATCAACATGCTGCTTCCACCTTGCTTGCTGTGCCTGCTTTGCCCTCGGCAGCGCCCAGAATCGTCTCCATTTCTGATCAATTGCATGATGCTCAGAAGCTGTTTTCCTGTGCGATTGAAGCATATCGACTGCATCCTGAAGCAGAGTGTTGCAGATGTTTGAGGGGTTGAGTCAGGATGGGATGGTCTTGTGAGAAGAGGAACTGTGCCAGGGAGCCCAACAGGAGGGGGGGACCGGGACCGCCACGGCACCCCCCTAACCCTCCTGGTAACACCTGAATTCATCGTCGAATCAAGGAGGCTCCCACCCTCTTGCAGCCTCTGTTGATCTGGGACCTAGGACCTGATAAGGCCTCTGAGTGTTTGTGCCACCCGGAACCCGAGTTTGTAAACGACAACTCCCGCAAGCACCACATGCTTCTTTGCCGAAGTATATCTTGGGGAGCCCGGCCTAATCTGAGCTGGGGCGCAGACCGCGCCGGTTGCAAAAGCGCTTTGCAAGTCGTTGTGTGAGCAATCCCTGCTTGCAGCAACCGCTAGCCGTGCTCAAGAATTCCCGATTCATCGTTGCTTGTACTCTGCAAACCTCCGAAACCCTGGAACTGAGCACAGGCACCAGGTGCTTGCCGGTTTGGCGATGTGACACCACAAAATGTCCTGAGCTATCACGGCACTGATCATCAACAACCCAAGCCACAAGCCTTCAGACCAGGAGCTTCCATCTTTTCCGTCACGGAGGCACACGAAGCTTTCAACTACCTCCAGACGGTCCTGAGCATGATGCTGTACAAAAAGAGCGACAAGGAGGCTCGATTGTGCCTGCCTGTCTGAAGTTTACACGCCATAACAGATGCCGGCGACTCTGAGTACTCGGTAACTACGCAGATGGCCTGGCTTCCTTGTCCAAACTTTGTTGTCAAAGGCTCTGACAAATGGTTCTGTTGCACAGTGCGACGCAGTGCAGCGACTGCGGGAGGGTAGGCATCCACAGCAAGGCCACGGGTCCTGGAAGTGCCACAGGCAATGTTGTGAAAAACAACTCTGCAGTGGGGAGCAAACACATGTGCAGATGACTCAGTGCCGCACTGTTCTGGCAGGTGTGTCAAGGCCCATAAAATGCAGCCTCCCAGGGGTGGGCTCGAATCTGCACGCAAGCATGAGGCAACGGTACAGACGAAGTTCTCCATGGCTCAGTTGAATTTTAAGTTTTGCAAACCTGAGTTTTCACAAGCATAGGCAGAACCAGCGAAACTGCTCGGCAATCGGCCTCCCAAATGGCTGCCGATCCTCGGTTGTAGCTGCAGACACCGAACGCCCCAATACAGCAGCCAGCAGACTGGGACATGCAGCCGCTTTTAAGACAATTGACAAAGGATCTCCACGACCTTTAACGGCCGCAGTAGGCTTCGATGCTCCGAAACGAGGTCCTTGAAGGTTTGGTCCTCGGACAAAGGAACTTTATGGAGGTTCCTAAATTTGGGGTATGACAAGATGCAAACACTACCAGAGTGCCGATGGTTTCTTGAGTGCAAATCATGGCTTTCAAGCTCTGCGCACAACCTCTCTCCGACGATTCATGTGAGCTGCACAATGCAGGTTGAAGAACGTCCGCACGTGATTTGACTCTACATTCCGCGTTGGCAGCACGTGCACATAGAAGGGAGAGGCGCTGTGGGTCACTGAGTCCTGCAGCTGAAGGACAAGCACAATAGATTACGTTGGAAAGCTACCGGAATGCTCGGGATGATGGGTTCTGGGCATGTCGCAGTTGGATTCGTCACTCTTGCAACTGGATAGACTTTGATTGCTTCCTACTAAGACGCGGAACTTTGCACTGACACTCGCGTGCCTTGCATCTGCAAGCTTGTTATTCCAATTTCTGGTTTGGATAGTTGTCTCGACACTGCAATGCGGAGACATGCACAAGCCCCAATTCTCAGAGTGAGTCGAACTAATCGGTTCTGCAAGTTTTCCATCCAAGCTGTCTTGCCTGACTGAAGACGTGGGACACCTTGTGGTTGTTGTGCTAGAGACTTAAGACCCCCCCCCCCCTCCCGTCCGGCAAGTAGATCTCCTCGAGGACTTGGCTGTCCAGGCGGTCCAACAGCTCAAGAAGGGGGACCTGACCATCGAAGTCTCCATTCGATCAGAATGGCTCAGCATCAGCAGCAAAGGGAGTGTTGGCACCGAATGGGGTCACGTTGCGAGGTTCAACTAGCTAGGACACGTAACAACTTCATACTTCGGCCCTGGATGGCACCATTACGCCGCTTACTTGTCCAATGGAAGTGCAGCTGGGCTTGACATGACCTTCTTGTGTGCGTGTGTGTCCACAGGTCAATGCCAGCACCTCGGCTTGACCCATCAACGTGAAGAGACCGTACCTGGTTTCATCTGGCTTGTTCAATGAACATTCCGGCTTTCATGCAACAAACACCAGGCCTCCCTAATTTAGACATCTGGGCAGGTTGATACCTGGAAATTCTTCAGTAGCTCGGACATGTGTACATTAAGGCGGCCCAGGATGAATAGACCTGAGTATTGTCCCCCCAGTATCCTTCATTGGGCGTGGGGATTATTTTTTGGCAAGGAACACTGCGGGGCTAGGACAAACTGTTTTCTCCTGAACTTCTTGAGGCCTTCTGGCGACTGCGCCAAGTAATTAAAAGCCTTCGTCAATGTTCACGTCATGTCATGTCATTGTCACACAGGGCTGAGTCATTGGATCTGCGGGAAGGCCGGGTCTGGCGACATGCTGCCGAAGCCAAGCTGCATGCTGCTCAGCCCCGACGTCCCCGCTGATGCCTCCGCCGGGCTTGACAGTGGCTCCAAGTCAGCAGGCAGCATCTAGAATCTAGTCTAGTTGGAGTGCTGCCACGCGCATCATCGTAGCTCAATGCGCTTGCGGTCAGCCATATTTCAAGAGATCAATTTGTGCAACTCACTGGCACTGTTCAACACTGTAATCATGAATGCAGGGTCACAGCCTTGGTCTGCCGGTAAGCCTGCAGGAGAAAACCTTGTCCTCTGTGCAGTAGCTGTCTCATTTCCTTGGCACAAGCATATCGCATCTGCGGTATCCCCAAGAACAATGCCGAAACACAATGCCGAGCGAGGCTCGTCGCGGGAAGTGCTTGGGGCACCGCCAAGCCCGACAATGCCAGGGGCCCTGGTTGTGCGGAGGAAGTCCTTGGCGTCAGGAATCGACGCAATGGCAGCCCCGACAATGGGCATGAGGGGGTGTGACGCGTCTGGAAATCAGCGGCATCCTTTGTCTTGCGGTCAGCCCTACAAAATTACAGTGTTTGCATATGCATAGCAGCTGTTCCTGCTGCTGGTCCCAGAACTATCGCCGTGTTGCCAAGACAACAGCCTCTGTGCCACCGAAATGTCTATCTCGGTTTGAGACATGTACATATGCTAAGGTGCAAGAACCGAAGTACGACTATTTGCAGGGCCAGGGTTCTGAAGCTGGAGATGTCACCAGCATTGCTGAAGCTAGTCTTGGGATTGTTGCAACAGTAGAACAGCATGTCAGAAAATCCTCAGCATGGTCGCCCAGCTGTGATGGTGCTCACAGGGTTCAATTTGGAGGCCTTGCAGGTTTTCCCTCTGGTTCAGCCCGAAAGCTGGGACTGAAACCCTCTGAGGGAGGGACTCTGTACTTGTACCAGGACCAAGGGGCCCTCTGTAGTGGGTTGGACGGAGTTGGGATGGATCGTGCATGCCAGATGATGCAGGAGTTGTCAAGCTGCTGGCTGAGAAAGATTGTTGAAGTGTTGGAATTCGCATTACAAGCATGCTCCAGCTGGCGAAGCAGTGGAGAAAGCATGGCGGCCGAGCACTTCCGTTGCAAAACCTCACCAGACCGATGCACGATATGTTCTGCTTGCTGCTCGATGCTGAGTAGCCTTGAAGCTCATCTTCTCTCTGTCCTTGAGTCGCAAAACCTTCATTTGAAACCCGAGAGTGCATAACTTGTTGAATCCACCTGCTGCCCAAAGCACGAGGACACGTGTACCAAGAGAAGTCTTTGACCGACATCGAACATGGTCTTGCATTCCAAGTCTCTGCCTCAGCAAATCGAAGGGCCGCTCGTTCCAAGCTTGAGAATCCATGACCTCTCGAACAGCGCCCGTCACTGCGCTTGTTCATCTTTCTGGACCAATTCTGGCCCAAGCCAACTCCAAGCTTTCCGATTATCTCCGGTCTGACCATTCCTGACCTACAGGTGCACAACTCGTCCCACAGGATCCTGCCTGGCCACTGCTTGGCAAGCAACGTCATCGGCCCTTCAGCAGGCGCATCCGAGCTGAGATGTTTTCGCAAAGCGACGCGCAAGGCCTGCCCTTGGCTAGCGAATTGCGAGGCTTCTACCTGTTCCGCTAGGATTGTTGCTGCTTGCGTCGCTCGTCGTGGAGGCTGTCTGAAGGTTCTTATGCCTGCTGCAGGGGTCACCTCCGATCAACAAATGCTGCTTTTTTTTTACGTGTTGGAGGCCTACCCGTCATTTCGAGACATCTGGATCCTGAAGGTTGCAAGCGTCGAAAAGCCATGTAGCCACGGCAACAGCACATGTGTGTCGACTACTTGTCCGAACCGTCAACACGCCAATTACTGCACGACAAGAGTCCTGCGGAGGAGTCCTGTCTCGTCGCTGCTCCCCGGAGCATCAGAAACTCTGGGAACTTGTCCTGCGTGGCAGGCAGGCTAAAAGTGCCAGCATTGGCCCGAAGCTAAGAAAAAAGGCTCAGATAACTAGGGCACTAGAACTCCAACTCGATCACACGTTTCGTCCCTGCAACAGTGTGCCAGCCAAGGCACACGCATGGCATGGAAAAGCTTCGACTGCTCAAAGTGAACTCTCCGTTCAGCTTGCCGATCGACGGGCTCATGCGCGTGCAGTGGCTCTAGTGGCTCGAGGCTGCACTAGGTCGTCATGAGAGAGTTTAGCGGCTTAATTTATGTTGTTTAGCAGAGCATGGCAAAGCAACATCGTGAGCTGGCTGGCAAATTGTTTTGGGATCATGGGCTTTCCTTCGAGTTGAATCGTGACTC